CCTATTTCCTGACCCTCCTTCTGTGTGTTTGTCCCCTCTGCGGCTCTCCCCGCACGTGTGCGGCCGCTGGACGCTGCCCCAGGTCCCGCGGCTCCTGCACTTTGTCCAGTCTTTTCCCCTCCGAGTTCCCTCTTGTGTCGCTTCTGTCGTTGCTCCTCAAGGTCACCATCCTTTACTTTGCAGGCTCCGAGCTGCGCTAGTCCCAAGCAGGCACCGTCTGACGTCAGCCTTGTCCTGTGTCTTCACGAGTTCCGGGGGGTCTTCTCCGCGTCCTCCATCTCCCTCTCCCGGGGCAGGCGTGCCCTTCGCTCCCATGAGCGCTCCACACTCTACACACGTGCTTCCCCGCTCCTTCCATTGTTTCTGTCTCTCTCGTGTCTGGGCCTCGTTTTCTGCCGGCTGCTTTTTCTCCTGGGGAGGGCCACGTCTCCCTGCTACTTTGTGAATTTCGTATCCTTTTGCGCTAGGTTTGGTGGTTTTCCTTTGAGGAGGATTGGTCTTTGTCCCAGGGACAGGAAAGTTACAGTGGGGCATTTGGGTCTTTTCGAGATTGTTTTAAAAAGCTTTAGGGCGCTCCAGAGTAGCCCGCACCCTAACCCTGACCCAGCCCCACTCCTCAGGTGTGACCCTCTGTGGCCACCGCTGCACGCCCTGGGCGCTCAGTGAGGTCTTGTGTGCTCCCTGCCTGCGCCCTTCGTCGATTCCTGGCTCCGTGAGAGAGAGGAGCATTGTTGGCTCACAGGTCCCTGGTCAGTGCCCTTTTCTCAGAGGTCGTCCTTTCCTTGGCCGGTGGGGTCACTCCCTGTGCACACGCAGAGTGTATTTGGCCAGAGACCCAGGGCACTGGGTGCAGGTTCCTGGAGCTCCCTCTGCCTCGCCTTCTCTCCTTGGTCCCCTGCCCCGGGGAGCTGCTGGGTCTTGAGGCCCCGGCATCTGTCTCCTGCCCAGAGACACTGGGCTCCACCCTAGTCATCCTCCCGGTTCCGCAGGCTGCACCATCTCCTGCTTATCGGAGAGCTGGGGGACCGTGCGGCTCCTCTCAGGCTGGAATACTGTACCCAGGCTTGTCCCTCATCAGGACTGTGTTTCCCATCTTTATTCCAGCTTTTAACTGTTTACAGGGGAGGGCGATCCTGGCCCCCGTTTCCCTTATGACAGAAGCTGAAGTGCTCTCACGGCGTTATTTCCTGAGAACTTGGCTTATGTCTTTGGTTTTAATTTCTACATACTATTGGCCCCCAAATTCCTGTCTCCTTCACATACCTCTGACCTGAGAATTGCCCACATGGTCCCATGCTGACCCAGAGGCACCACCTTCGCCCCCTGACCAGAGTGACCTCTTCCTCGCCCCCGATGCCTTCCATCCCGGCCGCACTGACCACATACCTGGGCTGACAGACGTGAGGACACCACGAGGACACCCGCCGTCCTCCCCTCACTTGCCCCTTCAGTTCCACCTGTCCGCAGTTCTGTCAGCTCTTCCCCGAGGGCTCAGGTAGCCTTCTCACCACCCTTGCCACCACCAAATTCAGGCCCTATTGTCACCTGCACTGAACGCAGAGGCTCGACTACTATTTCTGCAGTAAGTGTCCCACTGCCCACCTGCCTCGGTCACACAGTGCCCACCATTGGTTGTGAGATCCAGGAGCGCATGAGGCAGGATAACCCGTGCATTTTGGGGTTAACCTGAGCCTCCCGCTAGACTCGCAGTGTGTGTCTGTTAGGTTTCCAGCCCTTACTTCCTGCGGTGCGTTTGTGTAACAGGTAAAGAAGAGGGTGAGCTGCCGGAGCAGAGGCCCTGACTCAGACGGGGCATTCGTCTCCCTCCTGCAGCCGTCCAGCTGTCCCGGCCGCGAGGCAGCTCTGCTCCCCAGGGCCACTGGGGGCCCCAGGCTCCTTCCAGCTTGTGGTGCTGTGCCCCTAGGGTGTTGTCTTCATCTGCCCGGTTGAGGTAGAGTCCCACCCATCATGTCCCAGCCCAGGAGGAGGCGTGAGAGGCAGTCACGGGTGGCAGTTTCCTGTTAAAACGTGAGGAGAAACAGTGTGCTCACTTCTCAGATCCCAGGGGTGAGAACTGAGTCACGTGGTTGCTCTTGGCTGCAAGGGAGGCTGGGAAGTGTCCTCTGCTGCTCTGTGGCCAGGCACCTGGGACAAAGGAGAGACTGGGTCTGAAGGAGACAGCTCTAGTTGCCCGACGGCCTTAGGTGGCATCCCCCGTGGCATTCCTTCAGGCTGAGGTAAGAGGCCTCCTGTCTTCCCTCTTGCCTTCCCTGGATTCCACGGGAGGCCAGAGGCGGTCCTGCAGCTGTCCTTGCTCCAGGGCCGGACCTGCCTTGTGTCTTCAGAATATTTGCACATTTCCTCCTACTCTCCCTGTAGGTCCACATTAACTCTCAAGGCAGCTGGCTGGCAGCCACCCCCAGCCCTGGTTTTCATGCCTGCCCACGGTGGCTCTAGGTGTTTACCAAACCCCACAGCAGCCATCGGAAATAGCCAGCTGCAGCTGCTGCTGTTGCCAGGCTGGCACACCCACTGCTTCCATCCCGAGGCGGGGCCTCTGCAAGCTGCTTGCATGGGGCTCTGCATCAGAGCCTTGGCACTTGCCTGCTGGGCTGGGGACAAGACCGGCCCTGGAGGCAGCCCCTCAGGGCAATTTTACCCAGCCCTCTGGCTTCTGCCTGCCCCCTGCCCACTGTACTCCAGGCCTGCCTGTGGGCACTTGCAAGCCCCAGGGCTGCCTTGCCCCTAGGACGGCTCTGCAGTGATTCCTGCTACTGGAGCGGGGGCTGGCGAGCTCCAGAGCCATGCGCCCTCTGGACCACAGCTGGGCCAGCCCCTGGCTCTGCTCCTTGTCAGAGGCCACCTCACTGCCCGCAGCCTGCTCAGCCGGGGCCCTGCTGCTGTGTCTCCGTGGCGTTCTCCCCGAGAGACGGGCCAGCTGCCCTGCGTGCTGTGGCTCTTCACCTTTCTCAAGGCTGCGGCTCCCATGCCGCCTCTGCTCTTTCCTCGTGGGGCCCGGGCCACGCAGCCTCTCCGAGCTGAGCGGCTTCATCCGAGATCGGGACAGAACGTCAGAGCCAATCAGCCAGCGTTATCTGGAAAGACACACACTACACAGGGTCGGCAGCTCCATCGACAGGCAGTCCGGCCCCGTCAGACGGGACACTGGCCCTGAGGGCAGGACTTGCTCTGGATTAGGGGAGGGCCGGCCAGGAGTGAGCGGGCAGACGGCGCTTGAGGGGCTGTCCAGAGGAGCATGGCTTTGAGAAGGGACAGCGAGCTGGTAGCAGATGCTCCGCGTTTCCTGCAGAAGGTCTGTTTACCCCAGTGTGAATGGCTCCTGGAGTCGTCTACACAGAGACATTGAGAACAGGAAGGATTCTTGGAGCCAGATAGTTCCTCCTCTTCATTCCGTAGACAGGAACGAGGCCTGGGAGCTAGCATTGCCTGAGCCCCTGCTCTGCGTCTGTCCTGTAGAAAAACTCACGTCAACCCTCCCTGGGGGTCTCCTCCCCATTCTGCAGGTGGGAACAGTGAGGCTCCCAGAGCCCAGGAGGCGGGCCCCAGATCCCGAGAGCGCGCATGGCAGGCTGGGCTTGGGAGCCAGGCCTGTGGGACCTGAAAGCACCTGTTCATGAGGGGGGTATGTGGATGGTGTGCGGGTCTCCTGCCTCCTAGAACGGGCCCTCCCTGCTCTGTGCCTCCCTCCTGCTGCCCTGGCTGGACCTGGCACAGGTCCGGCCGCTCGTCTTGTCGTGGAGGCTCAGCCACTCTGGGCCGTGCGGGCTCTTCCAGCCGCAGGGGCACCGGAGGTTACTGTTGTCTGTTCTGGAACTTCTATCAGTTGGGTCCTACAGTCTGTGCTCTGGGGTCTGGCTGCTCTCCCTCGGCTCGGTGCGTGAGAGTCTGCCCACGTGGTGCGTCCTTCTCTGCGGCCCTGTCGTGGGCAGGCCCTGGGCCTATGTCCTCCGTCCACGGGCAGGCGCGCCCTTTCCAGGTTCTGAGGAGGAAGCTGCCGTGAATGTCTTACACCAGCTTTCTGTGGACATGTTTGTGTTTCTCTGCGTAAATACCTGGTGGCCTTGCTGGGCGGCGGGTGGGCGGTGTCTAACCTTCAAGGGACGGCAGACCTTTCTGTGGGATTGGGCTGTCTTCTACTCGGCCTAGCAGCCTGGGAGCAGTCCGGTCCTCACCAGGATGTGGTGTCCACACACATTTGGTATTTCTTTTAATTGAGATAAAATTCATACAACATAAAATTCACCATTTTAACCGTCCTAAAGTGTACAATCCAGTGTTTTTGAGTATATTCACAGTGTTGTGCAACCATCATGATTATCTCATTTTAGAACATTCCATCACCCCAGAAAGAAACCCCACACTTGGCAGCACTCCCCCGTGCCCCCTCCCAGCCCCTGGCAGTCACGAGTCTGCTTTCCCTGCTGTGCCTTTGCCCCTGTGACCTGGGCACTTCTGCAGGGGTCGGACAGCGCGGGCCTCGTGTCTGCTCCTTCCACAGGCAGGCAGCCTTGAGGCTCAGCTGTGTTGTGGTATGTGTCATTGCTCGTTCCTTTTCGTGGCTGAAGGGTGTTCCCTTGTCAGGATGGACCGCACCTTGTCGTTGGGTGGCGGGCGCGGCGTCCCCGCCCTGTGGCTCGTGAGCAGAGCTGCGCGCGTCTGCAGGTCTTCACGCAGGGCCCGGCACTCATCTCTCTCGCGTGTGCCCGGCAGTGGTGTTGCTGGGCGCGCTTGGGCAGATGGCACCTGGTGCTAGGCCTTTCAGAGGAGCCGTCCTCTGCTTTCCTCTCCCTCCTTTGGCTTGTGGGCGCACGTGCGCATGCAGGCTCACCGTTCCAGCTCTGAGCTCTGCCCGACCCTGGCGGCCAGCCAGGAGGGGTGACTGCCACCTCTCAGCTTGGGAGCTGTGAGCAGCCAGTGGTGCTGGTCTCCTGTGGGCAGCACAGTGAACGTGTGTCCTCCCCTGTCCTCTTTTCTTGCAGCCACCCAGGTGGATTCGGGTGACCTCCAGGAGCTGTTCCAGGAGACGTCAGCCAATGTCTTCCGAATCAACTCCACCGGTGAGTCTGTACCCAGGCCCAGCCGCGTCCTGTCCTGCCCCCACCTGACTGACTTGGGCCACTGAGAGTACCACGGGAGGTCGGGGTGACACTGGGGTGGTGGGTGTGCCCATGGCCTTCCTCCAACTAGGCCGCCTGCAGTCCAGGCCCAGGCATCTCAGGACGGGCGGGCAGGCCAGGTCAGTGAAGGCAGAGCGTGTCGGCCTCAGGACAGCATGGGGGCAGGCCTGCCGTCCTCCCACCCCGAGGCTGCTGCACCCTCAGCTCCGCTCCTCTCTCACGGTCACATGCCCTGTGCGACCTGGACGAGGCCCCAAGGGGAAGGAGCATGTCAGAGCCTCCCTTAGACAGGCAGTGCTGGCTGACTCACAGGTCACAGGCTGGGGGTTGGGGGGCAAGAGCCACACACCAGAGGGCCAGGTCAGGGCTTGCCCTCTGCTCCTGCAGTGCTGGGGACACGTTGGTCAAGCAGGAGAGGGGAGGAGAGGAGCCCTCCGCCTGACCTAGGGCAAGGCCCGCGGGGGGCCGCTCCCAAGAGCCCTTGAGCCCCATGTGAGCCCAAGAGCCTGTCCCAGGGCAGCTGGGGAGAGGGGTCCTGTCCGGGGGCTCTGCTGGGGGTTCGGCAGACTGAGCGAGAGGGCCTGGGCACTGCCCGGCCCTGCTGTCCTGGCTCCCACAGGTCCTTCACTTGGGTGGTCTCCCTGGCCCTGACCCCCGTGTCCTTGGGCCCCTGCCCTGCCTCTGCTGGGGATGCGGGACATGCCTGGGGTCTGGGGGTCACCTGAGGAGCTCCCTCTGTTCCTTATGCCTGTCCCCTTCTCTCGGCAGTGACCTCCTTGGAGCAGAGCCTCCGTTCCCTGGGGACGCCGAGTGACACGCAGGAGCTACGGGATAGCCTGTGAGTGTGTGCCTGTGTTCAGTGTATGTGGGTGTCATGGGTGTGCCCTGCACTGTCCACACACTGGCCCCACAGCTGCCTGGACCCCACATCCCCGAGGGCCAGCCTGCCTGGTGCTGGAGCCTGAGGCTGAGCTCACGCTGGGTGTCACCCTCCATTGGAGGCACACAGGTGTGCCCGCGCCCCTCTTAGAAGCTCAGGTGTCCTGTGTTGCCCACAGAGAACACACACACACCCGTGTGCAGGATCACACTCAGGTGGCGGGACATGCGTCGGCATGCACACTTTCTGCCCCACTATCTCCACACATGTCTGCCATGCACCAGAGCTCAGTGATGGGGCTGCACACTGAGCGGGTGCACATGGCACAGGAGTGCTGTCTGCACAGCGGTTTGCAGGTGGTGGACTCAGGCTGGGTTGGAGCCAGGATTTGTGTTTTTGATTTCTCCTCTGCTAGGGTCCCACTGGGCATTCCTTTTGGGGTCACCCAGAGGCCGGCCCTGGGTTGGCCTGGTGAGGCTGCGGGTCTGGGAGGCGGTTCGGCTGTGACAGACGGGCTCCTCAGGTGCGGTGCTGTCTGCAAGCTGGAGCCCTGGGTCCCTGGGGAGGGAAGGGCGATCCCTGCAGGGCACCCGGCTGGCACAGGGCAGGCCAGCTCTGTGTTCAGGCCAGCCTGGGCCCAGCGCCTCTCCACAGGCTGTGAGGCCCTTCTCAGGGGCCCCGAGGAGCCCCCAGTTCTCCCGGCAGCAATCTCAGTGTGGTGCAGGGTGGGCAGCGCTGGGGGGAGCCAAGGCCTGTGTCGGAGCCCCTGTTCCCTCCGCCGCCTCCTTATCTGGGGCTCCCGGGTGGGTCATGACGCCTCTTTGAGTTTGAGCCACCTTGCCTGTGAACAAGGACGGTGTGGGGTGGTGGACTGAATGTGCTCTTAGAGGCGCGGCTGTGGACAAGACCGTGTGTCTCTTCTTGGCATCGACGTCTGTTGGAGAGGTGGGGGCCCTTCTTCCAGGCGAACCACTGCACTAAGCCTGAGCAGCCCCAAGGAGGCCTAGGTGCTTGGACAGAGCTGAGCCCCACACCCCACATGGAGTTGCATGGAGCCCCATGCTTGGACCCAAGGATTCTCTGCCTCCTCCCGTTGTCACGCAACCCTACCCCACCTGTGGACCACTGGTGCTTCCTGGGTTGGAGGAGTCCCCGCAGGGCATAGTGGGGAGGGCTGTCCTGGACCTGTCCCTAGCCCTCTCTCTCCCCCTACCTTTGTTCTGGGCAAACCAAGAAGTTGGTGTTCCCCAGGAGAAAACCGTTAAATTGTTCTTTGGGTAATGAGCATTCGATGGCCAGTCCCGCAGGGCGTGAACCTGCAGGGGACCATTCCTTGCTGATGCCAGGCCTGCACCTTGTCAGATCCCAGTAAGAACCCGGGCATCGGTGGCCTTCCTTACATGCCCTATGTCCTTGCAGGCACCTGGCCGGTCACCTCAGCAGGGAGCCTTGTGGTTTGGGGACCCATGCTGGTTGTCTGGCTGCGCCTCCAAGGTCTGGGCCCATCATCTGTGGGTTAAGTGTGTTCTGTCCTTATGATTCTTGATGCTTTTGGGTTACCGATCGTGGCAGCATTGTACCTCTTAGCAGAATAGGGCTTCCTTGTGTGGGGCTCACCCTGCCCTTAGCTCTTGCATCCTGCCAATGACCTGGAGAGAGGAGGGCAGGTCATGTTATTCCTGTTTTACAGATGAAGACACTCAGTCTCTGAGAGAGGTTGGAGTGTGGCCAAGGCTACACCTCTCTGAATTGACAGACCCAAACTCAGCCATCTGCCCACCCATGCATCCATCCACTTGCCTGCTTAGCCATCCATCCATCCATCCATCTCCCTGCCTATCCACCCATCTACGCATCCATCCATCCATCCACCCATCCATCCATCCATCCATCTCCCTGCCTGTCCACCCATCTATCCATCCATCCATCCATCCACCCACCCATCCATCCATCCATCTCCCTGCCTGTCCACCCATCTATCCATCCATCCATCCATCCACCCATCCATCCACCCACCCATCCATCCATCCATCTCCCTGCCTGTCCACCCATCTATCCATCCATCCATCCATCCACCCACCTGCCTATCCACTTATCCACTCATCCATCCACCCATCTATCTATCCATCCACCTGCCTGTCCATCCATCAACCCATCTATCTGCCGATCCACTCATCCATCCATCCAACTGCCTACCCACCCATCTACCCATCCATCCATCCACCCATCCATCTGTCCATCCAGCCACCTGCTTATCCACTTATCCATCCACCCACTCATTTATCTACCCGTTCATCCACCCATCTGTCTGTCAATCCATCCACCCACACCTGCCTGTCCACCTATCCATCCACCCATTCATTCATCTACCCATCCATCCACCCATCCATCCACCTGCTTATCAACCTATCCATCCACCCATTCATTTATCTACCGATTCATCCACCCATCTGTCTGTCTATCCATCCACCCATCCACCTGCCTATCCACCTAGCCATCCACCCATTCATTCATCTACCCATCCATCCACCCATCCATCCATCCACCCATCCATCTGTCCATCCATCCACCTGCTTATCCACCTATCCATCCACCCATTCATTTATCTACCCATTCATCCACCCATCCATCTGTCTATCCATCCACCCATCTACCTATCCATCCACCTATTCATTCATCTACCCGTTCATCCACCCATCCATCCGTTGCCTATCCATCACTTGCCTATCCAGCTATCCATCCACCCATCCACTTGCCTATCTAGCTATCCATCCACCCATTCATCCACCTATCCATCCACGTGTTCATCCACCTATCCATCTACCTGTTCATCCATCCATCTTTTCTTCTGTCCATTCATTCAGGCTAGCTGGGACTACCTCTGCCAAGTCTGGGGTCCAGAGCTCAAGGCAACAGAGGGTCCTTTGCAGATTTTTTGTGCCATTTTGTTTTTAATTATTTTTTTTAGTTTTTTTTTTTTCCCAAAACAACATGTATTGTGTTCTGATTGTGAAAGTAACATATGCTCATTATAGGAAATTTGGACATAGAGGATGTCTGAGGAAACACTGTTAACATTTTGGTGTTTCCTGCCAGCCTCTTCTCAAATCCAGACGTGTTTTGTAGAACTAGATTTAAGTGAGTAACGTTCTGGGTGCTGCTTTTTGCGCTTAGGATTGTAGGGTGCGCATGTCCTCACTGCAGTCTGAAACGTGCTCCTCAGAGGGCAGAGGACCCTGTTGTGTCTGCGTGGTTGCTGAGCCGAGACTCGGCCTGCTCTCCTCGGCTTTCGGTGTTGTGAGCCGAATTCCCAGGACGGTGTTGTGGTTCCTCTTCAGGTTGCTGCCTGTTTCCGGGTTAGGTCCCTGGAGTGGAGGGTCACCTGGGTCAAGTGGTGGCATTTTTGAGGCCCTGACCCTCGCGTGATTCTTGGGCTAGCTGTTGAAGGATGACCTCACCAGCATGGGTCTGGAGAGTAGTGCTGGCTCCAGATCTTCCTGAACACAGGGCCTGGCCTGCAGTGCCCCAGTGTCCCTGAGGCCACTGCCCCCGACTCCATCGGCCTCAGCTTTCGGGTCCAGAAACTCTCCCTTTGGCGCCTTCTTGTGCCCTCCCCCGCCTCCCTCAGAACCCCGCTTCCTGAACCCTCTCTGCCCCTCTTCCCTGCAGGGTGACTCCTACAGGCTGCTGGTGTGCTCGTCATGGCCTTCCGGAGCCTTCCGTGACCCCATTCCGTGGTGGAGTTTGTGCGCATCATGGAATGTTAGCATTTTAAAGTGACTTGAGACCAACGTTGGCTTGCCAACTCTCTGTTTTTTCCACACTGACAGTCGCCAGGTTTTTAATTTTGCCAAGTAAGAACATAAAAAAAATAGTACACTATCATCCATTATTGCTGTTATTTTACTTAAAAAAAGACATTTCCGGACTCCACAAGTAGGCGGGATCTGATCTCAGGAGAGAGGACGGTCCTTCCAATTGAATAAATTTAGCTTCATGGAAACCTCCCAGCGCTGCCCTGTTTTCTCATCTTGTGTGAGACAGGTGTGGGTTTGTCATTCCTGCCAGCTGCCAGGAGACACCCGCCTGGCTGCCTGTGGGCTGCCCACTTGGCCTGGGTGGTGCTCCTCTCCCTGGGGACGAGGCGTGTGGTGGTGAGGGGGTGCCTGCCTGACTCACGGGTGTGGCCCTAGGTGCTGCTGGAGCTGCTGCTCGGAAATAGAAGCTGCATGAATGAACTGTCATTCCAGGAGCCCTGGGGTGCAAGGCCCTGCTCCTTAGTGTCAGGAACTGCGCCATGAGGCAGTCCCAGCTCCGAGTTCACGGGGCCTTGGGGCCCTGCACGTGTCAGTGATGGTGGGTCCAAGGCCTGGGGCTGGCCGAACCCATGCGGGCTCCAGTGACTCTGCGCTTGCGGCATGCAGGGCAGCTCCTTCCCACTGAGAAAGGGGCCCCTGTGCAGGGCTTGCTGGCTGAGAGCCCCAGCCCCGATGCTCTGGGTGGTCCCAGCTCCTCCGAGTGGGTGTTGGGGCTCACGTGCAAGGGTCCTGGATACACTGTCTGCCTCTCACAGCACACTTGAGTCGCCAGGGATGGTCAGACCCCATGGGAGCTGGAGGCGTGGAGGGAGGGAGGCGCCCAAGGCTCGCCGGAGCCAGGCTGCAGCTCTATCCAGGCTGAGGTCTGTGCTGGCCCAGGCCTCGTGGACCCTGCTTCCGGTGTGTTCCTGCATTGGTGGGGACCCCTCCTGCTGCCTTTTCCTCCAGTGGGTATCTCCATTACCATGGAAATAGCAGTATCAGAGCTGAGAGTGGCCCTTCCTGGCACCCCAAAGGGTAATAACCAAGCAGGAGGCGGCTCACTGGGGTTCTGACTGGCCGTCATCTCCCGTGTCCGCTCTCCCACATGCGTGTCCTCAGGTGTCATGTCTCGCGCCCCCCCCCGCTCTCCCACACGTC